AAAAAATACCAACAGCAAACCCAGGAATGACTAGCAGCAGATTAAACACCAAAAGCAGATGAAACCAGATATGATTGGACAAAATACACTCGAAATCAACCAGGAGTCCCTGAACTTGAACCAAACAAGATCTAGAAGATACTCAAACCATTTTTAACCCTCTGTTGAACTGAAACTTGATCTACAAATGAAATTCAAACTTGATCTAAGAGAGTTCCAGTAGAGCAGTATTTTTATGGATTTTTTCTACTGTTTTTGTTTTTGGTTTTTTGAATTTTTGAATTTCAGACTTCAAGATCTGTAAAAAACTTGTAGAACACTTTTGGGGTTGGAGGGGGGGGGGGATTTTAGGCCTAAAAAACTTGTGAATCAAGGCAAATGGATGCCTATTTATAGGTGAACCTAGGGTCCAATTTCAGATTTTCCTTTTACCCATTAGTCCCTATTTTAATTCTATTTTTTATCCTTTATTTTCTGACTTGTTACACACAAGTAACTACCCTAAGTTTACTGAAATATGCACTATAGTCCATCCTAGAAGGTTCTATACCATTACATTCCTATTCTACCCTTACTTTACTTCAACAATTACCAATCTTAATGAAACTACCCTTTTCCTTGCCTAAACTACCCTTTGAACCTCTTTGGAATTATCTGAGCTAAAACCAGACTATCCTAAACTAAAACCTAGCAATGCTAATTAATGCTAAATACTGAATTAAGGCATTACTAATGATAACTACGGATTAAACGAGACTAACTGACTAGACTAACTCAAATCAAACATTAGAACAAAAAAATTAAAATCAGCAAATCCTAAACAGAATTGGACTAAGACGACTAATAAAGAATTAAGGATTATAACAATGAACCATAAACTGAAACAAAACATTTAGCAAGACAGATTGAAACGAAAAAAATTAAACTAAAACCTAAAATTAACAAAACAGGATTAAATCAACCCAACAAAATTGAGCTAAAGCTAAGAACAATTATAAGAGCAAGATGAAAGCACATACAGAATCAAAGACAGAATCGAACGAAACTTACTGATGTTGAGCATTCGACTGACTATGGGAGAATTCTGACCAGCTATTTGTTTGTTTGAATCCTCTGGGATTCTTGACAGTAACATCCTAATCGTGTGTTTTCAAACGAAAATACGTGATTAGGGAAATTACGGTCCAAAATCCCAAGATTTCTGAGTTAGGGTTCTGCCGGAATTTGGGATTTAAAGTTTGTAGTGTTCCGGGCAGATTCGAGGGTTTCTAAGTATGAGTTAATGATGAGGGAGGTCTGGTGGTTACAGGGGTATCGATTTTTTGGGAGAATTTGGGGACGGCGCCGCCGTACACGGTGGTTGCGGCGCTAGGGTTTGAATTATTTGAGACGTTTGGGTGATGTTTGAAGGAAACCAGTGGCAGATATGGAACGGGGAGGTGAAGGCGGTTATGTGATGTTAATTTGGGGTGGTTTGGTCGGAGTTGTGTCATGGCCGGAAAGTTTAGATTTGATATTCGAAGCTTTGGGGTGGGATTCGAGACAAACTAAGATGGGGGTTGGAAAGAGGAGAGAACAGTGGTTCTAGGGTGTAATTTTGGTGGCCATCGGAGCATCGCCGCCGCCGGCGGCGATTTCCGGCCGGCGGCGCTAGGGGGGAAGACGGTGGTGGACGGTGGGGTGACGGTGGCGTTACAGGGAGTACGAGGAGATGGATTGTGTTTTGGTTTTTTTGTATAATATTCGGACAGTTATATTTAATTTTGAGAACCAATCGTGGCCATTGGATTTGGGGGAACGGACGGTCATGATTAAACGACGTCAAAACGACGTCGTTTTGAGTATGGGGGCAATTGGACCGGGCAGGGCGTTTGGGCCAGTGGTTTTGGTCCGGTTTGGGGGGTTTTTTGGGGTGATGGGATTCTTTGGGCTGGGTAAAATGTAACCAAACGGCCCAAAACTGAGTTATTATTAAAGCACCCTCTCTTAGATTGTTTTTTTTTTCTTTATTTTTTTATCTAATTTTCCCTTTCTTTTTTTTTGTATTTATTATTTTTTTCCACCTTGTATTTTGTGTTATTTTTGATTTTATAAAAGATGCAAAAAATAAAAATAAAAATTAAGCTAAACTAATTAATGCCTAAAATTACTTTTAAAACTATTTTGTGCCCATTTTTCAATTAAACAATAACATGCAAAAGTGAACTATTTTTGTGATTTTCATGTTTCGTTCTAAACACAAATTAATACCTAAAAAATGTGAAATTAAACTCCTAAATGCAAATGCATATTTTTTGTATTTTTATTATGAATTATCATGCACAAATAAAATGCAAACAATTACTACAACATGTCACAAAATTCCACCAAATTGCAAAATAATGAAGAAATCATTTTGTTTTGAATTTCTGGGAGTAATTCACATAGGGCAAAAATCACGTGCTCACAATACGTACTATTAGAAAAAAAATCGGCTATTATTTTTTGGAACGACTAAAACCATAGTACATTTCTCTAAATTATTGTTCCTTTGGTGAAATTAAAATAATTTCCACCACTAAAGCAACCACCGTGGCGGCTTTTGTAATGGGGAAATGGGAACGCAAATAAGGCAAACCAACTAACTGATTGTCTTACTCCCATCATTACACCTACGGCGCAGTGTGTATTTTTTAGCGGCTACAGTTCCCCTCACCCCAATCCCCGCCTATTTATTTCCCTTCATATTCAATTCATTGCTGCAGCAACAATTTCAGTTGCAGAGTAAGTTCGAGACAATCTCTGCCTTTTTTCAGATCCTAATATGTACTATTTTCTCCTGGCCAATTTAAAGAGTTGAAGCTAAGCTTCATTTTCTAGGTATTTTTTTCAGATCCAATTATTCACTTTTTCCTCAACTCATTGCATCTGGACTCTGGATTGAACTATGTAAATTATCAGTAATTTTGATTATCTTTGCTTCATTTTCACTTAGACTGATGATTATGCTTTTTATATTAGCGGAATTTGTTTTATCGCTTTTTTTACCTCCGGAAACTTGTTTAGTTGTTGTGAAGTGTATTTCGTGATGGTAATATTTTTATTAAATAAGTGGTGTCTCAGTCAGCTTGCACGCACTAGTTAGGGGGGGGGGGGGGGGAGGGGGGGGGGGGAAGGGAAGGGATTCACCCGTAAATTATGTTGTACATATAAGGCAAAATCTATTTTGTAGCTCTATATATTATATTTTTGAATCCCTTTGATACTGACCCAGAAGTATAGACTTAGTGATCAAGGGGTTCAAAACCTTTGTGAGTTCGCTGGTTCAATTCCCATTGGCCACACAACTCTGAAATCCGCCACGGGCTACAAGCACACCGACTAACTTTGCCACAATGTCCAGATGGAAAGAAATCAATACTAATATTTTTTGCATCCGTAAAATTTTGGATACTCTTACTTCATTGACCACTAGGCCACATAAATTAGGTGCAATTTGGAACAATTTTTATCAAACAGTTGGGCTCTTACAGTGAACTTCTGTTTTTCCTCTTCTGGAATTTCTTTTATTCTGCCTGAAAGTATCATCATTTTTTATAGACCAGACATTTATGTGTGGATAGGATCAGAACTTAATGTGACGAAAACTTAGGTATTTTAGTAGGAGTAAGGTAGAGTGCACCCATACTTCTCCGAATTTCCGACCAGTTCTTAAATCTCAATTGAGGTTTTAAG